CAAACTCTTTCTGAATGCTTATTGGTACATTTGACAGGAGAGTTGAAGGCGAGTAGGACAAGGTCCCAAGCCTCAATGAGTGTTACCTCATGGGGCATCAACCCTGAGAACTAGTCCTGGAACTTCAGAGGTGCATAGTAGTCATGTGTATCCATGTGGTTGGCACCAGGTAAGGAGGGATCAATCGTGGCTGAGAACTGGGTAGGTGAATAGGCAGGTAGGAAGACAGAGAGGAGTCAGGAAAACAGAGGAGGAAAAAATTAAAATGTCCCAACTGTTCCTGTTCTACCTGACCACTGGGGGAGAAGAGCCTGGTGGACGGTAAGTATCACAGTAAACTGCCTTGGTGCTCTGGGATACGCCTGTGGAGATTCAGTGAGGTGGACTCGTAATCTTTCTATCAACGCTGAGAAGATCAAGTGCAACTGAGAAAGGAGAGAACAATGTGGCAGAAAAAAATGATAAATTGGGGCTGGGTTGTGGCTCAGTGGTAGAGCACTTGCCTAGCACGTGTGAGGTTTGAGCCTCAGCACCACATAAAAGACTAAATAAAATAAAGGTATTGTGTCCAACTACAATTAAAAAAATAAAAAATTAAAAAATGATAAATTGTTGAGGTGATAATGTAGCTTGATAATGTAGATCAAAACACCACGATATATCCATAGTGTACACAGCTATTATTTGTCGATTCAAAGTAAAATAAGGCCAGGTGTGGTGGCACACGCCTGTTATCCCAGGGACTCTGGAGGCTGAGGCAGGAAGATTAAAAGTTTGAAACTAGCCTCAGCAACTTATTGAGACCCTGTCTGAAAATAAAAAATAAAAAGGGTTGGGGGATGTGCCTCAGTGATTAAGTGCCACTGGTGTGCAATCCCAGGTACAAAAAAATAAAAAACTTCAGTACAGAACGATACTGGCCTCCAAGGCTGTGTGGGGACAGTCACTGGGGGATGAGTCACACAGAACACACAGCCAGCGTGGCCCAGAACCTCAAAGCTGGTGGTTGCTGAAGTTGCCTCTAGCTGAGTGCCATGTACTTGCACGACAGGCTTGTTGACTTCCAGTCGGAGAGCAATAAAGAATTTATGAATGATCTCACACTTCCCCCTCCCACGCACTCAGCTGCCTTTTGATCCACAACTGGAAACATCTGAGCTCCGAGCGCTTTGAGAAATGCCTTCTCCTGGGCCAACAGAGGTAGCAAAATGATTTACCATGCCCTGGGGTATCGGCTTTATTCTGCACTCCAGTTTCTCTCCTTTGCAGGGATTCCTGGGGCAGCTGAGTTCCTCTCGCCTGCAGCTGCAGGGTGTTGGTGAGCCCCAACGTGTCCATGGTGGTTGGAGGCAGCAGAGGCAGATCTGCAGACGGCACTGCAGGCAGAGGGACACGGCCTGTTCGCAGGCAGCACTGGAATATAACTGTCCCTGCTGTCACCCTTCCCCAGGGAAATCAGGTTGTGGGTCTCCAATAATCAACTTTACACCTGAGTCTTCAGAGTGGAACCCACCTGTCTCCAGGTCTGGTTTTATTCAGGCCCGGGTGAGAAGTGTGGGTGGAGAACCGGAGAGCTAGCCCTCGGCAGTAACTGGGTTGGCGGGGTGCTGTCTGTACAGTGGGCACCCACTAAACACTACTGGGGTGAGAGCATTGTACTCATTAGGGATTAAAAAGGAGATTTTCAAATTGCAGATATTTGTGTCTAATCCTTTAAGTTTTGCTCTATGGCAAACTATTGTTCCTAATACAAAGTGGGTTTAATATTTTATTTTGTTTATCTTATTTAATTTTATATTTATGAGAGAGGATTTGGCTATGTTGCCCGGGCTGGTTTCTGACTTCCTGGCCTCAAGTGATCCTCCTGCATCAGCCTCCTGAGTGGCTGGGACTGCAGGTGTGTGCCACTGGGCCCAGCTTGATCTCCATGTTTACAGCATGATGCATTAAACTTTAAAAATCAATGCAAAACTACCTGGCTGAATGAGCTGAACTTTCTGAGTTAAATACACTCACAGGGAATTTTTTTTTTTTTTCTGTGACCCTGGGGATTGAACCCAGGGCCTTGAACTTGCTAGGCAAGTACTCCCCTAATGAGCTACCTCCCCGGCCTGTTTTAAAATTTCATTTTGAGGCAGGACTTTGCTTAGTTGTGCAGGCCAGCCTCAATTGGTTGATGCTTCAGTCCCCTGAGTAGCTGAGATTGTAGGCTACGCACCACGGAGCCTGGAGAAACTGAAAGGAACTTTTACTGTTGTTTTAATGAAAAGCCACAGAGGAGGCAACAAAGCCAAGATGTGGCCTCACAAATTAACTGCACACCAAGTACGTAGGAGACAACAGAAATACTGTCAAATGCTATCCTGTAATTGACAGAAACAAACAATGGGCTCTCTGGACTTAAGAAAAAAGGTTAATAAACTATGACAGTGAACCAGACAAAGTGGCTATCAACTGCAGGTGGTCCTGACAGTTACAGGTGAGTGCCCATCTGGCCGGATCATGTGGGTTCCATTTATGGGACACTAGGGTCTGAAGGATGCGGCCCATCACTTCCTCTGCAGCTGAGGGTCTCGGGGATGAGGGTTTTCCTGCAGCGTTCTCTTTGTTCCAGAGAGTCCCTGTGAACTAAAGGAGGTGAAATGATTTATTTGACTCTATGCAGTACACAAATAATAGCATTTCCCTTTGAGAAATTTAAGGGAGCTAGCATGTGTGCAGACCTTCTAAATCCAGCCCAGGGCCTTGAGACCTAACCATGCCTGGTGATCACTGAGGAAAGAATTGTAGGAAGGAGAGGAGGAGAGGGAGGGAGAGAGGGATGCAGATGCTCCCCACTCTGTCCCGTGGGTCCCTGAAGTTGCAAACCACGGCAGCCCACCCGGAGGTTTCCTCTCCAGAAGAATTCCAGTTTCGTCTTCCTTCTCTACCACCAAAACACTTGTTCTGGACTCTCTCAGGTCCCAGGGACCTCCCCACTCCTCCTCTGGAGTCAAAACTTACTTGTTTACTTGTTTTGTCGCTCATTAACTACAGTTCCCCGTAGGTGATTTACTAATGGGATAATTCAATGAGATGGGGTGTGAATGTATCATCCCATGGATCCCATTTACAGTTTCACTGAGGCCTTGAACGGCTGGGTCTGGAAGGAGGGGCTAAGGTGGCTCCCAGGCACGCTTGGCTTATTGTCCCCTACCACCCTCATCCACGGGTGGCCACTGTCTGTTCAGGCGAGAATCTGACTAAGTGGTGCAGAGGAAGGAGATGGTTGTGTTTTCATTTGAAAGTCCTCTTGGAACCTGGAAACCACAGAAACCACGGCAGCTCATTTCTGGGTTTGATTTTCCAAGATCAAAACATCCAAACGTTTGATTAAAAATTCTGTAAAAATTTCTTCTGTTTATATCTCAGTAAAGCTGGAGAGCAACCAGGCCAGAACCCTCCTCCTTCAATGATCCATCACACAGAGGGGGACAGCAATGGAGTATTGTTCTCCTCAGACAATGTAACCTTAATCTCTCCAGCCTTCTCTTAGTAAGAACCCTTTCCCACTGTTTTACACTATCATAATCTTTTATTGGATTTGCTTCTATTTTTTTTTTTTTTTTTACATAATTTCCGAAGCACAAGGACTGTGCCCACTTGATACGGCTGCTGCTGTTTTCTTTGGAAAGCTAACAGCCCGTGCAGCTTGCTCCGTGGTTGACAGGCCTTCTAGTTCCTCAGGGAGATTGTCAGTCATGCCTCCCCAGATGTCAGCATTTTAGAAATAAAATAAAATTGAATCTCAGGACCTTTCTGGACCTTCCCTGAACTTCACCGAGGTCCTCTAGCGGAAGGTTCTCAAACCAGGCAGACAGATGTCCAAGTGATCCCTATGCGGATCACACCACTCAGTGCACCATCTTGCCTAGGATTGGTGCCCATAAAAATGCTAGTTGATTAATGGGTGCTGAAGACTGGCCATTCCAGCCCACAGCAGCTTTCTTGTCTGTTACATTTCCCATGTCTTCCCACATCCATGTTTAGCAAACGCACCAAATGTGGACTCTAAACCATTGCAGTCTATTTCCACTGCTTCGTCCAGGCTTAATCTCTTGTCACATTTTTGGGCCGCCTTTCTCTAAGTGCAAGGATTACAGGCTGGGAAGGATTTTCTTGCCAAAAGGCCAGTGCTCTTCGGGATGTGAGTTATGGAGAACCTTGAGGCTGTTTCCGTATCTGAGCAGAGTTTATCACATTATTTAAGGGTGACTGTCCTCTGCTCAGATGGGAAGCACTCTGGAAGCCTCCCCAGTGGCTGGCTAGCTGTTCTTCTGAAGGTTCTCCAGAGATGCAGAAACCACAGAAACTGCTTTGGGGATTGTTTTCGTCAGCTTTGTTTTTGCTGCTGTGACTGAAAGCATCTGACCAGCACCATTATAGAGGAAGGAAAGTTTATTTGAGGGCTCACAGCTTCAGAGGTCTTAGTCCATAGAAGGCTGGCCCCATTCCTCAGGGCTTTAGGTGAGGCCTAACTTCATGGCGGAAGAGTATGGCAGAGGGAAGCAGCTCACATCATGATCAGAAACCACAGAGATGGTCTCCACTCTCCAGATACAAAAGACATACCCCAAAGCCACAGCCCAATTCCCACCTCCTCCAGCCACACCCTAGCTCTTTAGTTACCACTCAGTTAATCCCAATCAGGGGATTAATCCACCGATGGGGTTAAGACTCTTACAACCCAATCATTTCTCCTCTGAACCTTCTTGCATTTTCTACACGTGAGCTTTTGGAGGACACCACATCTAAACCATAACAGGGATGGAGTACAAAAATCAGCAGAAATAGAACAGGGTTGTGGACAATGAGGTTTGTAAAAATGACTTTAGATTTCTAGTCTTCTTGGTGAGGTCCTTATCCCCTTTGGTTTGGTGGCTAAATGGTCACATGTGTCACATGAATATAGCAATTTGCTGGTTTCCCGATGCCTAACAGTGTTTAGAGGCCCCCAAGCCTCCCCCTTAACCCTTTAAAACTTCATTGTGAATTCCCTCAAAATAGGTTACCTTACCTGCCCACACCACAGACGTCGACTCCAGGAGATTCACCGTAATTTCTTCTAACCTGCAATCTATATTCCCATGTTGTCCGTGGCCCTTTTGGGTGCTGTGTTCTCCCTGTGAGCCCAGGATCACTACTGCCTTCAGTTGTCCCGCAGTGTCCTTACCCTGGATGGGTTTTCCAGCTTCCCTTTGTCTTCATAATATTGACATTTTAAAGAACACTCGAGGCCACTGATTTTATGGAAAACTCTTCCTTTTGGGTTTTTCTGATGTTTCCTCGTGATTATACCCAAGTAGATTTTTAGGGGCTCTTATGTGAAAACCCAGGAGTTATGAACGCTTCTAATATTCCTTCTTCTTTTTTTTTTTTAATTCAGAATGAAATTTACACACTTTGCCAAGCCCTCCAAGGCCCTGCCGTATCTACCTTTGCAGTCTCCTCCCTACTCACCACTAACTCTCTCTGCGTCAGGCCGCTGGCACTCTGTCTCCACTTCTCCCAGGACCTTTGCTTCTCTTGTTTCCTTACTTTATCCAGATCCATTTTGCCACAAACTGAGTGATAATCTCAGATTCCAACCCGCAGCCTTCTTTCATGTTTTTGGAGCCCTCCCTTCTAGCCAGACCCCCGAAGTCTTCCTTTTCCTGCCCCATGTCCCTAGAGAGTGCAGTTGTGGTTAGCGCTTTGCTCTTTGGAGTTCACCAGCTCTTCCAGTGTCCAGAGGACAGAGTTGGTAGGTAAAGCACTGCGTGTTAGTTGAGGTGAGGGTGACATCTAGCGGTAGTGAGGACAGCCTTTGTGCTCAAGGCCCTTGGTAGACTCCTAGAGATGGAAAGAGAAAGCCCAGAGATTCCGAGGTGGGATCTGAGGGATTTGGTGACATGTGGCCACTGAGGGGTTAGCTGAAGGTTCCATCCTTGTTAAGTGTGTGTGAGGGTGAAGAGAATAGAGGGCGGGCCTAACATGAGAAAAAGAAGAGGCATTTTCCTTTGTGAGAGAGTTTACCTGAGAATAAACCCATCTTTCAAGAGGCCAATTTATCACTCAGAAGGTATGAACATAAAGTTACTGTACGGTCTCACCAAGCGGGGGTGAGGATTCAAAAGTTAAGACCTCATTTATTGAGTGCTCAGTTGAGAAAGAAGTTAATGAATTTTACTGCCTGGCTTTAAAATGTAAGTATGCAAAATACTTAAATATTGCAAGTTTTAAAATGGAAGATAAAGGCCTTGTTTGTTGGTTTGGGTACTGGGGATTGAAAAACAGCCAGGGTGCTTTCCCACTGAATTACATCCCCAGCCCTTTTTATTTTTTTATTTTGAAGAGGGTCTCAATAAATTGCTGAGGCTCGCCTTGAACTTGCAAACCTCCTGCCTCAGCCTCCTGAGTCACTAGGATTACAGGCAAGCACCCCCAAACCCAGTGATCAAGGAATATTTTAATCATTATCACAAGCTTTAGCAACTTCCATCCCACTGAATAATGTATAAGAGTGCACTTTTCTTCACACACCAACAAACTGTATTATCAGGGGACTTTTTGTTACTGCTAATTTGATAGGTAAAATGTACGGTATTTTTATTTTGCATTTCTCTCATTATGAGTGAGCTAATAACTGTGTGTGTGTGTGTGTGTGTGTGTGTGTGTTGCTAGGGATTGACTCCAGGGCCTCCCACTCTCACATGCTGGGCAAGTGCTTTGCCACTGAGCTACAGCCCTAGTCCCTTCTTCTGATTTTCTTCTCTGTGAATTGTCACCTTATACTTGATCCATTTTCCTATGGAGCTATTGGTCTTTGAAAACTGATTTGTAGGAGCTTTTTATTTATTGGGTCAGTGAGCCCTTTGAGATGTGAGTTGCAACTTTTTTCCAGTGTGTCATTCCTCTTTTGACTTTGCTTTACGATGATTTTTGAAATGCAACCTTTTCTTATTTGGGGGACTTGTTTGTTTTTGGTGCTGGGTATCGATCTCAGGGTCTCACACATGTAGTAAGTCCTATACCACTGAGCTGCATCCCCAGCCCTTATTTGGGTTTTAATTTTATACATAGAAAGTTCTTCCCTTTTCTTGAGATTATTAAACTGTTGCATGTTTTTGTTGTTTTGTTTTCGTTTTGCAGTTCTGGGGGTCAGACCTGGGGCTTCATGCATGCCAGCAAGCACTGTACCTCTCAGCCACATCTCTAGCCCCACATTGCTTTTTTATTATTCTTTATTGGTTAGTCTTTTAAATTTAATGTTTGATCAGTCTGGAATTTGGAGTGTTCTCACTCTTTTTTTACTTTGCCAATTTGTCCTAACATCCCCCTTTTATAAAGTACCTTCCCTCAAGGATTTAAAATGCCACTCTTACTATATATTAAATTTCTTTGTACTTTTTGATGACTGCTTGTTTTTGTAACCAACTCACATTAATGTATAGAGATGAGAAGATCTTTTTTTTTTAAATATTTATTATATTTTAGTTCTCGGCGGACACAACATCTTTGTTTGTATGTGGTGCTGAGGATCGAACCCGGGCCGCACCCATGCCAGGCGAGCACTCTACCACTTGAGCCACATCCCCAGCCCATGAGAAGATCTTTAAAAGATGTCTAGTCTTATTTCTCCAGTTTGTGGTTGATGTGGCTCTTTCTGCAGGCAGGAGGATGGGTCAGATGGCTTTGATACCAGGGCTTAGATAATTCTTTTTTTTTTTTTTTTTGTACCAGACGCTTAACCACTGAGCCACATCCCCAGCCCTTTTTGTATTTTATTTAGAGACAGGGTCTTGCTGAGTTGCTAAGTCCCTCACTAAGTTACTGAGCCTGGCTTTGAACTTGCAATCTTCTTGCCTCCGCCTCCTGAGCTGCTGGGATTACAGGCATGCACCAACATGTCCAGCTTTAAATAACATTTACATTGACTACCAAGCAGATCACCTGGGACCATTACTAATGGCCAAGGTCTGCAGAGCTCATGCCTTAAAGCTAAGGAATTCATTGAAATAGCTGAACATTCTAGATGGACTATGGGGTGAGCTGCTGTTTTGTTGTTCATACACAGATCTTGGTAACTGTACGTTCCCTTGTGTAAAGAGATCAGAGTCCATGTAGATGCTTCATTCAGCTGAGGGGCATTTATTCATCCTTCAAGGCCAGCTACTGTAGGTCTAATTGTGACTTTCAAAAAGATCTGTTGAAATCCCAAACTTGCCAGTACTTATGAATGTGATTGGACCGATTCTTAGTATTACTTTAAGAAACCCTAGCCACAAATAATAAACTACTTTATATTGGCACAAAGAGGTCCTTGCTCTGCCCTGGTATGTCCCAGTTTGTGGAGCTTTGCCTTAGCAAAAGGGTCACCATGGGGTGGGGGTGCGGGGAGCAAGGAAGGCTCTGAAAGCAATTGCAGAAGTTTCTGAGAGCATCCTTCTTAGATCTGTCCTTAGTAAGGCCAACTCTGGTGTGGTCAGGGCCATTTGTCATGTGTGCCCGTGTGAAGAAGACATTTTTGAATCCAATGTCTTCACAGAAGGTGAGGCTCAGGGACACAGAGAGCTCCGTGGGATACTGTGACACTGTGCTCAGAGGTCTCTCCATCATGAGCAAGCTATTTGTGCTGCTCACCATATTAAGAAAAAATGAACTTTCTCTGTTGAATGTTTGGAAAAAATCAAAGGAAATGTGAAATTAAGGGATCAAAGAGTGTTTGGACAATAACATGAACAAAGCCACTCACTTTCCAAAAGCCTATTTAAAAACATTTTATCTAGAGAATCTCCTCGAAGTTTATAAATAGTGCCTCACTCAGTTCCAGCATCAACCTTGAACAAACACTTCCAGTTTTATAACTAAACTTCTGACACTGCGGCCAAATGGGTTGGAATGGAATCTCTGTTTTCATCTGGCCTATTGCTTTCCCTTCTGTGGCCACAGTCTTTGTCTGGGCCATGGGATTACTCAATCAATCAAATATTTATTGAGTAACCAGACAACCAATGCAAAACTAAGGCTCGGGTCATATTGTATTCCGTACCGTTGGGCTGGGTCGATCTGTCTTGAGGTCTAAGGCATCCAAAATCACTAATGCTCATCTTCGCTTTGGAGTGTAGAATAGACCCACTTGGTTTTAAAAGTATAAACATATAGATGCACAGGCAAACACATTTGCAAAGGAATACACCCTGGGTTGCTCCATTTTGGTACCTGTATGTGAACACTCCTCTCCATTTTACCCCTTTTCTCTTTAATGTGTCAACAATGCCAATAACATTCACTTGAAATTGGAAGCTCTGAGAATTAAATTTCAGTCTCTTTAATGTTTTGGAGAAACAGGAAGGTTAAGACTGTAGACTCTGCAGGCCCTGGAGACTGCAAGACCAACATACAGTATGTGGGGGGAGGTCCGCACTTATTTGCAGTTTTATCAAGTGGGCGTTGTAGGAGTTGTTGGCACTGCTTACCAATACTGTCAATTCTCCTTTTGGAGACGTGATAAGATTTGGCTTCCCCATCAAGTTAGGATTGACAAAATGACAAGTTTTAGCCAATGAAATGTAAGCAGAAATAATGTGTCACCTTTGGACAGATTCACAATTCTATGTTCTCCTCCGCCTTCCATGGCTACTGGTGATGCTCCACCTGGTTGAGGTTCTGTTGTGTTGGGTCCTTGAATGAAGCTAATATAGAGACGTGTCCTTCGCTGACCTGTACTGAACATGTAGCAAGAGAGAAAAACAATTTGTTCTAGGCTACTGAGATGTGGGGATGGTTTTTTCCTGTAACATAACCACATATGTGCTAAATAATACAGAAATTAGGATATTGAAATGAATTGCTGTCTTGATAAGGGCCATAAAGGAGGGAGGGGGCAGCAAGAGGCTGTGCCTGCAGGAATTTAGGATGCAGATTGTGTTCTGGATGAGCTCATGCCTCTAGGGGAGAAGACTGGGAGAGATGATTATTGTTAGTAGCATGTACTGATGGTTATTTTGGCAAGATGTTACAAGAAAGAGGTGAGTTTAAAAAGAAATGGATGCATTTTCAAGCAAGAATGTAAAAAAAAAAAAAATCCAGGGACTGATAAGCCTGAAATAAGACTCAGTCCTAAACAGCAGCAACAGGGATCAATGGAAACTTCAGTCTTGTATCAAGGGACAAATTCAGGGTGCCATCATCATATCAATTGTTAAAACCTGTATCAAGATGTCTCTGAGTAACAGTTCAGATAATGGTGTGGTGTTCAAAAGAAAAAGTACCCTTTCACCTAAACAAAATGGTTTAGGGAAAAGAGACTGAAAATGTAACTCCTCCTAAAGCCTCATATCTTCAGGGAATTGAAATTAAATTGATAGAGACCTGGGAACAAGAAAGAAAAGCAACATAAATATGTGAATCATGCCTCAAAAGGAACTGTGGCTATTGGCTGATTAGAATAAAACACAAAAGGAGCTCTGTTTTTGACAGAGTTGTATTGACAAAAGAAGTGTCCATCAATCGGGACAGACAGAGGGTGATGGTTGAAAATGTAAATTACTTGGGGACTCCAATCACAAGAGCAGGAAGTGGATTGAGAAAGATGCCTGTCCCAGAGGAGGACACACTTTACAGCTCTTGTCTTAGTCCATTCAGTTGTTATAGCAAAATGCCATTAACTATAAGAACAACAGAAATCTACTTCATATAGTTACAGAGGCTATAGTTTCTAACAGATTCAGTATGCAGTGATGGCCTGTTTCCTGTACTTACATGGTGTCTTCTAGACGCATCCACTCATGGTGCATGAGCTCTCTGGAACCTTCCTTCTCAGGGCACTAATTCCATTCACAAGTGCTCCACCTTCACATCCTAACCACCTCCCAAAGGCTTTGCCCCTCATTCCATCACCTTAAGGGTTAGGATTTCAACATAGGAATCTGGACTATCATTAGTCAGTATTAGCTAGGTTAGATTGCAGTAACAAACAACCCCAACCTCTTAGGGGCTTAAAACATGAAAAGCTTATTTCTTGTTTCCACATGTCCATCTTGGGTGGGCAGAGTTTCCAGTCTACATTGTCCTCACTTAGGGACCTAAACTCCACCTTCTAGAACAGCAGTGGTTGCCAAAGTTCTGAGAAAAGGAGCATGGCAAATGAACCATTCAGACCATAGCATCCATTTCAAAAGCAGCTCCAGAGAATAGTGAGAGGCTCGTCCAGGTGCTGGGCCAGGCTTCAGGAGGGTGACTGGATAAGAAAGCCTTTGATAGGGCAGGACTGAGACCCAAGCAAGGAACTTTTCCTATCTTCAAGTAGGAGACTGTGGAACATCTGCTGTGTTGGATTTAGAATTGCTACAGACCAGGGTCTGCCAAGCTTTATTCTCTCCCCATTTCTTTCCCTGTACTGAGGATTGAACCCAGGACCTCGTGAATGCTAGGCAAGCACTCTTAACACTGAACTACATTCCCAGCCCTCACTCTCCCCATTTCTGAAGAGGGGTCCTCATTGTAGTTATCATGTTCCTGTTACATGGTTGAAGGGTGCGGCAGAAAAAAGTTTAACTTCTCAGTCACAGGTCCCAGAATCAATAGATCCTATATCCATCCCCAGTGTAAAACTGGCTGTGTATCTCCCCAAATCTTACATTGAGCAGTGAAACCCATGTCGGAATGAGACTTTCTGATTGAATCCTTGGAAGATTATATCCTTTGCATATTTTGCAAACAGAAAGAAACTGAATGTTCATTAGTAAAAACAGCAAATTCTGGTAGTTATTAAGGCTGTTCATAAATATTTCTGGTTCTCCTTCTAATCATAAAAGGAAGGTACTGTCTGGCTACCTTGATGTTCATCAGGCCAGTGTTTTGTTTTGGCCAATGAAACAGGAATGAAAAGCATTGCGCCATTTTTAGGCAGACGTGCAGATGTAGGGCTTCCTTTGCCATGTTCCTTTTCTCAGAACTTTGGCAACCACTGATGTTCCAGAAGGCGGAGGTTCTCCCAGTCTAGGCCCCTGAGTGAGGACAATGTAGACTGGGAACCCTGCCCACCCAAGAGGGACATAAGAAATAAGAAATAAGCTTTTTGGGGCTGGGGTGGTGGCTCAGTGGTAGAGCTCCTGCCTATCATATGTGAGGCACTGGGTTCGTTTCTCAGCACCACATATAAATAAATAAAAAAGAAGTCCATTGACAACTAAAAATTATAAAAAAATAAAAATAAAAAAGAAAGAAAGAAACGTTTCATGCTTTAAGCTCCTAAGAGGTTGGCGTTGTTTATTACTACTGCAGTCTAACCTAGCTAATACTGACTAATGATGGTGGAATGTTTAAACAGGATATTAAAAGATTTTTCCTCATGCATAGAAACAATGTCTTTAATAGTTAAATTTGCCCTACTGAATACTTCCACCAGTATTTTCCACATATTTCTGTTAAAAGTTTAGTAAACAGTGGCTCAGTGGTACAGCACTTGCCTCACACATGTGAGGTACTGGGTTCAATCATCAGCACCACATAAAAATAAATAAATAAATATATTGTGTCCGTCTACAATTAAAAAAAAATATTTTTAAAAAAGTTTAGTAAACAAATTAGCTGGTATTTTAAATCTCCTCCTCACAAAGATGCATAGATTTCATTAAATATAAGGTGTCCCCAAATCGTATTCTATCAGGTAATATGATTTTCTTTACTTTCTGACACTTGTGTTATGCCAGAATTCAATCATATTCAAAATTTTATTTGTCTAAAACTAATCTGTTTAAAAATAACACACAATATTTTTAAGGATATAAGACAAGACAAACTCATTTATTTTAAAAATATTTGCAAGGAGAAAAGAGCTGTCTTTAACCATTTGGTACAAATTAAATTACTGCTGTTGAGCACTAAATCTTCTCCTGGCACTGGGTTATGAAATTGTCATTGCATGATAAAAGCAAGCGTACAAATTTATCTAGGGACAAAGTCTTTTTCAGACCCTTTAAAGGTGGGTAACATGGTACATGTTGTCTACAACTATGATTTTGCACAAGATAAGAAAATATTCTTCAAGCTGATGATTTATTTCTCTTCTCCAAGGTTTAAGGGCATTGCATTAATCTTAATCCTATGCAAGTTAGTCTGTGGGGAGTTAAGATAATAGAGTGCAGGTTTGTTCCTTTCTGATGATCTAATTTACTTCAGGGATAGGGCTTACAGAAACTAGAGAAATGGAGAGATGATATATTTCCTCCAAATCTCAAACATTTTAAGCAAACTTCTGGCAAGTGCTGAACTGTAGTTGGTTTGCAACTGGATCCTTTGACAAATGGTCAAAGTGGACATCTTTGTTGTCTTCTCTTCCTTTGTTAACCTTGTCCCTCCTTCTTAGGTTGAAGTCCTAACCTCCAATGTGCTGGCGCGGTCGTCCCCCTGTGCAGTTTCACCACCTGCGTCTTCATGGCTCCATGATCCTCCTTGCCTGACGCTATGTCACAACACCTGCGCCCCTCACCTCACTTCATCTTGTCACCTAGGCACTGCATGATCTCACATCATTACAGGAAGAAGGGTGAGCATGGTACAATAACATATTTTAAGAGAGGAGAAACACATAATTTACAATATGTTATTACTTTATTATTAGTTATTGTTAATCTCTTACTCTGCCTAATTTATAAATTAAATTTTTATTATAGATATCTGTGTATAACAGAATATGCATATAGTTCAGTACTGTCCTTGGATTTAGGTACCAATTGGAGGTCTTAGAATATATCCCTCATGGATGAGGGGTGCTACCATATTTGGAGGTGGGCGATTAGGCATAGATGAGGTCATGAGGTTGGGATTCCCAAGATGGGGTTAGTCTGTCTGTGTATCTTTCTCTCTCTCTCTCCTCTCTCTCTCTTTTTCTGCCATGTGAGGACACAGTGAGAAGGTGGCCATCTGGATAGCGGGAAGAGAGACCCCCACCAGGAACTGAACATGCCAACACATTGGTCCTGCACGTCCCAGCCTTCAGAACTATGAGAAGTGACTATCTGTTGTTTATGTCACTGAGTCCATGGGATTTTGTTATAGTCTCCCAAGCTGACAAGGATACCAACCACCAAAATTATTATCTTTCCAGGTCCAGCTAAAATACTAATCCTTTACAGAACATTTGGTAGAGGCAACAATCACGGTGTATATTTTTAACTAGAAGACAGCAATAGCTAGGTTTCCGTGTGCTGGGCACTGAATTGGGCGCTATCTCATTTCATTCTCCTTGTAAGCTTGTGTCTTGGAGCTGTTTTTATCTGCAGTAGGCATCCTCCAGTCCAGAATTCCACAATTACAGAAATGTCCCATTGTGGCCTTCGCATCCAACATGCCTGGGTTGGGTTTCCTAGCTTCAACACTCACTAGATGAGCCGTGTGATTTCAAGCAAATTCTTTGGCTTCCAAGTGCTGGGATATTCATTCCTTCATCAACAGCTCAGGACGCCCCAAGCCCTGAGCTTCCCTCCTTCATTAAATCCCAGGTCGTCAGTTTTTGGCTTCCTCTTTTGCTTTGGTGGAGCACAGTCTCTCCACGCTTTCCAACAGAAAGCAGGAGCCAGAAGGCTGTGCTAATGGGACCTCCCATTGTCTGAAATGTGAATTATTCGACTGTGTCTTCAAGGGGTGCCTGGCGCCTTCCTTCCTGAGCTCTTCGGGGGTTCATCCTTGTTAGTCAACATGTTCTGGGTTTTTCCCATTGCCAGCCTGGGTTCAGGGTTTCTTTAGTTGGTCAAACTAGTTTCTCCTTTCCGTCTTCTGAGGTTGTGTAGTTGTCCTCTCTCCATGGTGGATTTGTCCTTGATAGTTCATACTTTTTTTTTTTTTAAAAAATCCTTTTATTGTAATGTAATTTTATTGGATTTTTAGGAGGAACACAGGTACCCTTAGTATTGAGAGTATTCAATGTGCTACGGCTAAGGAGAGTGGGACTATTGCTATTTCGGTGGGAAGATTTTGGAGGATAGCTACAGCTCTAGTCCATACAGACCGTCGGTCGTACCTCGCTTACTTAAAGGTCAGAATATGGAGGAAGGAGTTGGGGTGAGGAGTTAATGGTTTCCATTTGGGGCAAGTTGATGTTGAAATTCCTAAGGGACATTTGAAGACAGACTTCTTGGATCCTTTGGATGGAAGAGCCTGGAATTTAAGAGATAATTCTGGGTTAGATAAGGATAAACAGACGTCATCAGTAGGGAAGAAACAGTGAGAAGAGTGTGAGGAGACCCAGGAACAGAGGACCGGATGCCTCTAAGCCTCCTGTGAAAGGGAGTGACCTGTAAAGGAGACGAGATTATTCCCCAGGGCTCTGTTTTGTTTCACTACTCTCCGATAGCTGGGATTAAAAAAAAAAAAAAAAAAACAAAAAACCAAAACCAAAAAAACAATGTGTTTTGAAGCAGAGTTCCAAACTCTTCTTTATTTTTAAAATAAACTTTATTTATTTAGGAGCAATTTTAGGTTCACTGCAAAACTGAGCAGAAAGTGCAGAGAGCTCCCCTATTCCCCCGGCTCCCCACATACACAGCCTTTCCTCACCATCCATGTCCCCCCAGAGGGGTGCATTTGTGACAGTCCATGAGCCAACACAAATACCTCATTCTCACTCCAAGTCCATGGTTCACCCCAAGTCCATGGTTCACATGAGGGCTCACCCTTGGTAATGCCCATTATATGGATTTTTTCAAATGTGTATCCAGCATCATAGTGTCATACGGAATAGTTCCACTGTTCTAAAACTCCTGAATGTTCAACTCTCCTTTTTTAGGGAGTTAAGCAACTTACTCTTCTCTCCAACACCGCTTTCTGAATTTTAGTGTACATGACAGCAAAACCGTGAGATATTGGGGATAAGCGCGTGCTAAGAGGGAGGGAGGACTGCTCTGGAAACTGCATCACCTTAACAGGTCTACATGGTTCATAGGATGTCACCCAAACCCGCCTTCCTCTTTAAATGCCTGCCAACAGCAGACAGGATAGTCCCAGCAACCCTGCCACAAAAGGGGCTCCTGCTGTCTTGTGATCCAGTGAACCCTGACAGGGTACCAACCCCCCCAGCAACTCCCAGCAAGACAGAGCCTCAGAATTACCAGACAGAGTCACTCATGCACTTACTGCCTTCAAATATAGTGTGTGTAATGTCTCTCTCGAGAGAGAAACAAGTTCACCCCTTAAAGGGGAGACCTTGCCTCAGACCCTCAGAACAGAGCTGGGCATGACTGCCTGTGGCCTGACAGTCAGGCAAGGCATTAGAGCAATGTAACCAACTACTGATAATGACAGCTTCTTTGACAGGGTCTGCATTTTTCTCAAGAAAGAGCTTTGAATCTGCATAGGTACATGGGCAGGGATTTGCATAAGAGGGTGTGGATCTGGGTCATGAAAAAATGGAGACAAGTTTGATCTGAAAATATTCAGGGCAAGTGTTATCAGCTAGCCATCCCAACCATGAAAAGATCTTGCAGATTATCTTATTTTTGAGTGAAAGTGCTAGAAACACATCCTATGTTTCTGCTACAGCAATGGTTTTGCATCTTGACTGCTCATAAGAATCACAGGGAAACTTCTAAAAATAGTGAGTAGAATTTGATTTAATTGGGCTGAGTGTCCATCTTATTAGCTCCCTCCTGTGATTGTACCTGCAGCCAGGGCGAGTCCTACTGTAGGAACTAGCTGCTGCTGACTCTTAGCAGCTCAAGGAGGTGGCCTGTGGAATGGAGTTTGTGGTCAGTTCAGACATCAGTTCAGCTCCAGTGACAAAAGTGATCCAACAACAAAGTAATGTGATTTTTGTTGAATGAATGTTAAGTAAACAAATCTCACATCACAGATAAGGAGCAGGAAAGGGCTCTCAATCAGACAGACGAGCCCAGAGGCAGAAGCAGGGTCTGTAATTGGGTCAAGTGGTCCAGTGGAGACCACTTGGAGACTCGGTGCTTTTTCTCTTTGACACAGTGCATTCCATACCACATCCCATAGGTCACCTCATCTATTGGGCTTCAAAGAGCTGTACCATGTTACCCCTGCCCGGAACTCGAAAGGGGCCTCAGCATCTGGGGGTCCTTAGGCGTGTCTTAGGGGATTATTTCATGCAGAGCTGGCTGGGAAAAGGAAAGGATGGACCAGGATTTGGGGGCCCCACCCCTGTTTCAATCAGAGCCATTTCAGTTTTACCTGTTTTATATTTTGGTATAAATTTTTTTTGAAAGAAAATGTTTAATGCTAAGAAACAATTTAAAAAGTAATGGTTTAGTCCAATAAATCCCCAGCTATTAAAATAAAGAAAACAAGGTCAAGAAGTTAAAAGATATATCCAAGACCTACATAGGTGATGGCCCAGGTAAAAACAGCCTCTGTCTCATCAGTTATAACCACTGACCATATAGTAACTTGAACTTCCAGAACAATGTTAGGTAACAATGATATTGCGCATCCGGTATTACTTCCAATTTTATTAAAAACACGTACGTGGACCGTGGATGTAGCTCTGGGGGCAGAGTGCTGGCCTAGCATGCACGAGGCCCTAGGAGGAAAAACCCAACCAAACAAAAAACTAAAAGGTAGCTACAGTGCTGGAGTGTTAAGCCTGTTTGTTGGTGAGAAGGGTCTTTTTGGTGATGTTAAGGAAAAATATTGGTTACCGGGAAGTCTACATGAATTAGAATCTTTTAAGCATATAAAAAGAATCATAGTCTTTATCTTAACTCTGCTATAGGTAAGAAATATTAGGATCCTCAAATATGAATCCACCTTGTATTTATAGGTAAATACTTCTTGTTTATGGTGGCTCATTCTTTTAATGCATCCTTTTTGTTTAAATTTTTATTTCAAAATAATTTTAGGTTGAAAAAAAGTTATAAAGAAAATATGAGGTGATTCCAAGTTCCTTTCATCCAGTTTGTCCCAGTGGTTACCTCTTAAGTAACTATGGTACCTCAAATCAGAAATCAGCATAGTGTGGGGGTAGGTAATTTTTTCTTTTTTTTTTTTTTTTTTACTTTGCTACTGTCTTTTTTTGGAGATCTTTGTTTTGTTTTTGGTGTGGTGTAACATACATAACAAAAAAATCATGACTTTAACCTTTTTGAATTGTGCAATTCTGTGGCATTAAATATATTCACAATCTTATGTAACCATCACCACTAACTGTTTCCAGAATTTTTTCATCATTCCAAACAGAATCTTTGTACCCATTAAATTACACCCCCTTCCCTCCCCCATTCCCCTTCCTCCCCTCCACCCCCCCCAGCCACTATTGTACTTAGGGCTTCTATGAATTTTCCTCTTCTAGATCTTTAATAGACTCCTGACTTCAATTTACAGCTTTGCATGAATGTTCTTCTTTGTAGAGTTTTAGAATTGTAGTGTTTTGCCAGATAGTGGTAGTTTCAAAAAAAGGAACTTGGTAGTCTCCCATCGTGTGTGTGTGTGTGTGTGTGTGTGTGTGTGTGTGTGTGTATGTGAGAAAGAGAGAGAGAGAGGAGGGGGAGAAAGAGAGAGAGATTTGAACAATGTATATTACACTGGAATTGGCTGTTGTTTGAAATTTCAAAATAAACTCCATGGAAATATCATCTGGCCTAAAGGCATTTAAGTATTTAAGATTTATCATGCATAATCCACACTTTGGCTGTCTTGTCCTTGGTGTTCAGGATGAGTGACCTTGGGCGGAAGGGTGCACAGGGAGAACCATAGAACCATTAGCACATCTGGGCGGGCAGAGACCTTGGAGACCTCCCAGGCTCATCTCCTCATTTACAGACAAGGACCCCATCTTCCAGAGAGGACAAGGAAAATCTTTTCCAAAACTGAGCCAAGACAAACACCCAACACTCCAGACTCCCCTCCAACAGAGGCTGCACCATTGGAATTCCCATCTTTCTTGGAGATGACTCAATGTAATCTGACTGATGCAAAGGGAAGATGGTGTTGGAGCTTTTTCCAAAATGTTATTATAGACGTGCAGTTGTTTCCTCCTAAGAACTGTTCTCTAAGGGCTCAAGTCTTCTTGAATTCTCCTTCCCTGGTTGGGAGGGATGTTGGAGGCTGGCCATTATCGGAGCTGGTAGAGGGGGTGTCTGTGACCCAGATCCAGTGAGGATGCTGAGGTCCACTGGGGTACACCTTCCATGCCAGGGCTGCATGTCTAGGGTCACATAAGTAAAAAAGGCCAGAGGCTGCCACCTGAAGGCAGGGTAGTATAAACAGAAATAAATGAGTAGTGAGAGAGACCTAGGGCAATCCAGAGAAACAGGACAATTTATCTCTGATGGCTTTTAGGAATGTCACACTGTGGTCCACAGGAGCAAAAAAAAAAAAAAAAGGAAACACAATCACCTGATCATTTTTAGGATGAAAACCAGGGCAAGGTCACACTGAGGGTGTGACATGAGTGCCTCCCCCTTCTCAGTAGTTGATGTGGATTGGTTGGAAGCCTAGGCTGTTTGCAGCAAGGACATTGCAGTTCATGGCCTTGAGTTCCCGGTGAAACAGATTCCGAGTATCTTTGAACCTGAACAATTCATTCTCTTGAGAAAAGTGCCAGTCTTATGTTAATAACCTCATTATGCAGATTAGAACAGGTAAGGGCACAACCAGTAAGAGGCAAAGCCAGGATTAGAATCTGGATTTGCAAAACCATTTCAATGAGAAGAAAAATAAAATAAGAGGAAAGTAGAAAATAAAGTAGATAAACACCAACTTGAAATTCCAAAGTAGAAAGTTTGAAAGAGTATGGCCAGCCAAGACTCCTCAGAGACTTATAAGCTTGCTAGTAGCAGGTGGGTGAGCTGGCAGCCACAGACTGGATTTCCTGATGGGCAGGAGGTGAGTGAGAGATGGGACCTCTGACATTTTGGCCAGAGAGCTACGGACTGTGAGTTCCCAGATCCAAGAGTGGAGACTGCCTTGCAAGACAGGGCGGGCTGTGCTGGGGGACTCGCTTTCAGCTAATTTCTCACAGTGAACAAAATCCAGAGCCAATAAGCAGTTTTCCTACCCCACTGATATTATCTCAGATACATATAATGCACCATTTGTTGTTTGACCAGAGGCCTTCATTCTTTCAGATTGTTAAGATCCCAATAAATCAACAGGGAATAACATGCATGCAGCACCTGAAAGTACTTTTTAAGAAACAG